CAGTTGCCATGGGATAAGCAGTTACCTTTGCCCCATGCTCCCACCATGATGTGCTACATCACTACAGGTCCAACAAGCAATAGAGCCAACCAACCATGGACCGAAACCTCTGAAACTGTGAGCCAAAATAAACCTTTCCTCTTTATAAGTTGATTATCTCAAGTATTTTGTCACAGTGACAGAAAGCTGATCAACACACCATTCACTGATTAGTTTTGAAATGGGATGATTAATTTAGTGAATATTAATTTGGCATATTCCATGTTTAAGGCCCTGTACTCTGGGAAGACTCTGTGTAGAACACAGATGAACTTTAAGTCCTGCCCCCAGGTGGTTTATGGACCATACAAATAATACAGAGAGTAAGAAGTCTTAGGAGAAACAAACAAATTGCTGTGGACAGAGGAGGGAGAAACACATTCCTATTGAGGGAAGATGGAGGCGCTCCAGGCAGAGCTGTGGGTCTTTGAGGGTGTACAGTTATTTGGATCTTGAAAAGATTTGGGGACAGCATTCCTGGAAAGAAGATAGCATGAACAAAGGCATAGAGGGGAACAAAATACAGGTGAGGCAAGCAAAAGAGACAGAAAATCTGCCTATGGGTAGGGAACAGGGTCCCTGAAGGGAGCATGCCCAGGGCTGGTGCACAGAGCTCCAGAGGCAGCAGATTCTGGTAGAATTTGGGCTTCTTTGGGGGTGCCATAAAGAGCCCCTGAGTTTATGAGTAAAGAAATGACCTGCCTGGGGTGACATGGCAGGATCCAGTATGGAGGGGCATTTGATGGACAGGGAAGATCTTTGGAGGAGAAAGTGATATAGTTTAGGGGATCCGAGAGGGTCCAAATTGGGAGAGGGAACACAGGAATGGAGAGGAGGGGGGTATATATATCTAAGCAGAATCAATGGCACTTGCCAACAACTTGATGTTGGCAAGGGAAGAATGATGGTAACTTCAGGATTCCAGGGGTATGTTAAAAACTGCCAGAGTGAAAAACTAGGAGATAAGAGGGTGGGAAAGCATCTGACAGCCCCCCAAGTGCAGATCTGGGATAAACCACTTCCCTGGTGACCCTTTCAGGGCTTTGTTATGAAGGAAAGAAAGGAGAGAAAAGTCAGACTTTATACCAAAAAATACCCTCACCTTTTAGCAGCAATGCTAAAGCTCTTGTAGGGTAGAAAACTACACTAAAATGCAACAGAAATTCCTAGATAGTAATGAAATTTAATTTACCCACAGTGGTGGTTAGCCACTGCCGCTGATAATCGCCACTCGGCGGCATTTTCTTTGAAGTTAGGTAGTTAGCACTCTCTAAACTAGAAATTGCCCACATTTTATCCATTACAACTTGGAGGATATTAAAACAGAGCCATATAACTCTAGTCTCCAGGGAGTTTTAGAACACTGAGGTTGGGATGAGACTTTCAGAGCTACTCTAGTAATGCTGTGTCACCCTTCAGATGGAATCGCTTATTCCCAGGGAACAGCTTAAACTCAAATACTCTGACGTCAATACAATCATGACAACACTTATTAGTGCATAATGTACAGGCCTAGAGTGCATTTTGGGGAAAATAGCTATCTTTCAAGTTCAAGAAGCAGCTACAAGTTGACTGCTGTTGTTACCATCTCTGTTTATGACATTCTTATCGGGTATGAGAGAAAAGTGCTAGATTTGTTTATCTGTTTCGTAACTATGTCACAGGCAGCCAGAAGCCTGGAAGGGGAGTGGGAAGCAAGTTATGTCAGGAAGAGTCTGAAGCTGTAGACCCCATGGTTATAAGGAAGCCTGGTTATAAGGATTCCCAGCCTTGCCCAAGCCAAGGCGCCCAAGTGGGAGTGGGTAGCACCCATGGTGGCACCCTGCTCCTTCCTCTCTTCTGTCAGGTGAGCCGACTTCAAGTTTTACTTTGGACCAAGAGTCTCCTACCCACAAAGCTCTCACAGAACAAAGCTTCTAAAACAGTTCCTACACCAGACTTTCTTCTGAGTGAAATAGAGGTAATTTGAATCTTCAGAAAAGAAAATGAAAAGGAAATTTAATTATGCTCTTCAGGACATGAAAGTACCATGTGCAAGACGGAGGCTGATGACTTTTTTTCTTACTCCAGTGAAGTCAAAAGAGTCACATTGAAAGAGAGGGTCGCAATCTGTACAAAGAGTCTTGGTGACTGCGAGAGCTGTTCACTGCCAGAGCTTTGCATGGGCATCGCAAAGCGAAGGTGGTGGAGGACGGGAAGATAGGGAGGAGGTGCTGACACCCTGCTCCTGGGGGTCAGCACCCTCACAGATATCAGGCGGCAGTTCCTCCAGGAATCCAGTCCCTCATGACAAAGATGCCACATTAAAAAAAAATCCTTATAAATTAAAGGGAGCAGCATTGGCAGGTATAAAGGGTCAGTTACAAGCTCTGAAACACACACCGAAAAACAGGCAAAAAACTAGGCAGCAAGCAGTGTGGTTGGCTGTGTCCTGCTCCGGCCCCTCCCCTTGGTGCCCACTGCCCCTGCATCCAGCACCCTCTTCTTAGTCCCTTTATCTTACATGTAAGTGGGGAGAAATGCGACCCTGGACATTTATGCTTATTTATTGATGAATTACGTTATCATGTTACCAACTGAGCCCATGATTTTTTTTTTTTTTTTTAAGTTTCCAATTAAGGAACTGAAGCCCATGCCAATTGCTGGAGGAACCTCAAACCTGGGCCAGCAGGCTGTGAGAACTGCCAGGGGTCAGAGAGCAGCTAACGATCACATATTTTAGTTTTCTAAAAAAGAGGTAAAAGATGCAGGAGAGAAGAATGAGCTGCTCTCTTCTTTCTCCTGGGAGGACCGAGGCTCTGGCTCTCATGTCCCTAGCTGTTGTAAAGGAACCTTTGCTTTCAGCAGGACCCGGTTTGCAAAGAGCCATGCTCAGTGAAAACGCTCCATCCCCAAAATGACAAAGAGTCTCCAGAGGGTGACAGCAGAGTCTTCAACCAAGTTGCAGACCCAGCGGCCACAGGGCTTCGATGCTGTGCCTGGGCGCTCTTTCTCTTTGGTCCCCCTCCTCTGGCTACCCAATTCATCCTTCCCTAACCCTTCACTGCTTGAGAGATGCGCGGCCCCAGCCATTTATGGGTCTTACACGAAAATCAACCAACATGTTTCAAACGCTGCTAGAACACCGGGTTCCCTCGGCCTTTTCTCCTTCCCTTCTCCTGGCTAGAATGGCGACATTTATCAAAACGCCCTCGTGCTCTTTAAATCCCACCTCACTGGGGTTTTATGCTTTCATAGGCTGTCTCATGCTCTGGAACGTGTCTGCAGGTCTCCTCTAACGTTTTTCTACTCGACTAGAGCTCCTGACACTAGAGTGGGCCTACTGAATACTCCTCTCTATCCAGAGCCTCACCCCCTCTGCCTACCTCTCTTTACCTCGTCTCCCCTTTAGTCACCCAGTTCTGGGATCACTTTCTCAAGAGGAAAGAGAAGTCTTGAAAAGAAATTTAGAATAATTTCATGACTTGCATAATACTCTGAATAGTGTTTTTGCCTGACTTTCTTTGCCCATATTTAGGTGAGAAAAATAGGTAAATAAGAAGTACTTGCTTCTTATTTCTTACAGTGGGACACAAACTTTATCCTAGTCTCAGATTTTTCTTGCTTGGTGTACACTTTAGTTCCTCCCTGGCTGATAAGTTTTTGTTATCTTGGATTTTTTTTTTTAATTTTTCCTTCTAATTCAGACTAAGTGGAATTGGAAGGATGTCATTAAGTGAGAAAAAATTATAAAATACTTTAAGAGAAATTTAGGTCCATTGATCTCAAGATTAGGCAGAACCTCAAGCTAAGGTTGACCAAATGTTGCTTAGTTAATAGGGACCAGGAGTCAGTTAAGTGCTTTAATAAATAGATAAGGCTTATTTGTAATTAGTATATTGATTGTTTACATATAAACGAGCATTTCTAAAGTGCTCGAGGGGAGCTCAGAACAGCTTGTTAGGGGCTTTAAATACCCACCTCACAGATCAATTATTTCAGTACAAATAGACACTGTCTTCCAATCCTGTCTTTGCTGGAACCACTGAAAATTCCAAATAAGCATAGATAACTGATAAATCTTTATTAGTAGAAAATGTCATCAAAGTCCCTCTTCTGACCCTTTGAAATTTCTCTGCAAACCTAGGGAAATGGATGCCTTTAGCAGTGGCAGCAGAACCTAAAAGTCAGGGACGTGGAAGCGATGAGCCTTGTGTGGAGGTCTGTGTAGGAGGAAATGAGTGCGAGGAAACTGAGATGGTGAGAAAGAAAGAAAAGAGGAAGGCTAGGAGGAAGGAAGGAGGGAGGAGTAAGGGAGGGAGGGAGGGAGAGCGGAGGGAGGAAGGAAGGAGCACACAGAGACAGACCTCTCCACACATGGCTAAGACAGATGACAGAATGACCAGGTGACCCCCAGGAGGGAGCAGTTTGTCCCTGGAGACCTCCTGGTTGGCTTTTTCTGGGCAGGCCCAGCCCACAGCACTGGGGAGCGTGAACCTCTTTGTCCTCTGAGATGAAGAGACTCAGTGCTCACTGCTTACTCTGGAGCTTGCTGCCAGGGACCGGCTACAACTCCCCACACCCCAACAGGAGCAGGGAGTAGGGCTCTGGGAGGGGATACCTAGGGGCCAGGGTGGGACATAGCCCACTGGGCACACTCAGGAGCCTCCCTTCTGGAGCATGTGCGTGGCCTTAAATGCTTCTGTTTCTTCACTGAGGCCGAACCACTGAAGGGCCTTTCCCTGGGGTGCCCAGGGCCTTGAAGTGGAGAGAGCTGGAAGCGGCTGCGCTCACTGCTCGGCCCAGTGCCAGCGACAGGGTGGAGTGTGTCACACGCCTTTGATGTTCTCAGTCAGGACAGTCTCTGCCTGCTGAATATTTAATCCAATTTGGCCAATCAAACTTCAGGTCTAATGAGTGATTACAGTAACAGGCAAGCTCTTGACCCAGAGTGCCCTTCTACTTCCTGAGGTCAGCCCGGGCTTTGTTTGAAAACAAGCACAGCGGGGAGCAGAGAACCCTGAAAAAGGCGAGTGTGTGTGAGCATGTGTGCCTGAGTTTGTGGACATGTGAGTGTGTGAACATGCGACTGTATGTGTGAATGTGAGTGTGTGTGAATACATGTATGACGGTGTGTGTGAATGTGTCAGGATGTAAACACACGTGCATGTGACTATGTGTTTGTGTGTGTGATTTGCACGTGCGATTGTATGACTTGAGTGTGTGAGGTGTGCCTGAGTGTGTGCCTGGGTGCATGCGGCTGAGCGGGTATGACCATGAGGTCTGCTGAGGGTCACTCAGGAGGAGGAAATGAAGGACAGGAAGCCGGGAAGGAGAGGCTGGCAAAGACGTGCCTCTTCCCTCAGCTGGAAATGCAGATGATGGTGGAGCAGGAGCAGCCAGGAACCAGGCTGCGCAGTGGTGATGTCATCCTCCATTAATCAGGAGGCAGATGCTCCCGCCCTTGTGCTCCACCATCTCCCAGGAAGAGGGTGAGAAGCTGACCCCGCCGGCTCTTGGGCTCTCCTATTTCTACCTCCACTGAAAGAGGAATAGGAACCACGTGGCTTCCTCCACCCCTGGCTTCAAAGCATGTGCAGCAGGGACCTCAGCTTCCTAGCGGGAGCAGTCTCCAGGGGGTGGGGAGCCAAACCCACTGCATTCTTCCCCACTGCCGCGGGAATCTGGTGGGCTGCCCACGATGTTTTTTCCTAAAACCTCTTTGCCCTAACAACACTTTGTAAGAACAGGGAACGCAGGACACTCTGTCTGCTGGGAGAAAATAAACCCCAAGGCATGCAGTGATCATCTGCTTGAATCTTGTGCCTGTTTCGTTTCAGCAAAGCCAGGTTCCCTGAGCACCCTCCCGGCCCCATCTACAGCATGGGCACTTCCACAAGAGTGTGACCCTGTTCAGCGTAAGATCTCTGTTTTGCCAGCTGCGGAAGTCCTGCACCACCACATACGGCTGCCCATTGCACTCCATCAGAAGGTACTGATCATCCGTTTACTGCTGTCCTGGGCTGCCCACCACCCCTTCCCCTTCTGTGGCAGGACACACAGCGCAGCAGACTTCTCAGGGAACTCAGCCTTCCAGGCAGATGCAGTTACATGGCAACCATAAAGACACCTTTTTCTTTTTCTTTCTTTTTTTTTTGGACCGATATTCTATTAATCCTTACAAGTGTATTAGTTCTGACTTGCAGCAATCCATCAGCTGTAAGTGCAATAAATGATGCTTGGAAATGAATACCCACATTTCAACAGAGATGGTTTTACATATTAAATTATCTTTAAAGTTATAAATAAATAACATACATGAAATAGATTTAAGCAATAAACATATGTTTGGCAAACAATACTAAGTTTAAAATTCAGCAAGCTAGAGATATTTTGGCAATATCTTGTTAATAGGCCCTTCAGTGCCTGATCTGCTTCTCTTCCTTGGTAAAATCATACATCCATCATATCAAATATGGTTGCTCCTTTCTTAGAAAAAATAGTGCTTTCTCTCTCGAATACTTATTCTCTTTTTTTTTTTTTTTTTTTTTTTTTTTTGTGGTGCTGGGGATTGAACACAGGGCCTTGTGCATGCAAGGCAAGCACTCTACCAACTGAGCCATATCCCCAGCCCCGAATACTTATTCTCAATGCTTCAGCTTTCCTAGGTTGTTGCTGAGGATCTTTTTTTTAAATTTTATTTTATTTCTATGCTTTCTAGTATTTATTTTTTCTCCAGCTTTCGTGAAGTATTTTTGACCAATAAAAACTGTACATGTTGAGGTGTACAGCATGCTATTTTGATAAATGTATAACATTGAAAATGACAACCACAATCAAGCTAATGAACATAGCCATGACCTCACATAGTTACCACTTTTTGGTGTGCGTAGTTGGAACTGTTAAGATCTACCATCTTAGCAATTTTCAATTATACAATTCAGTATTATTGGTTACAGTTACCACGTCCTCTGTTAGACCTCCAGGATTAATGTATCCTGTAAAACTGAATTTTTACCCTTTGGCCAACACTGCAACATTTTTTCCTGCTCCCAGGCCCTTTCAACCACCAGTCTACTCTTTGCTTCTATGGGTTCAAGTTTTTTCGATGCCTCATATAAATGAGATCACGCAGCATCTGTTTTTCTGTGCCTGACTTAACGTCACTTAGTATAATGTCCTCCAAGTTCACCCAAATCTTTGCAAATATTAAAAACCTTCATTTTAAAAACTTCTGTATAATCTCTCTCTCTCTCTCTCTGTGTGTGTGTGTGTGTGTGTATGCATACCAGATTTTTAAATCCATTTGTCGATGGACACTTCAATTGATTCCATTTCTTGGCTATTGTGAAATAGTGCTGCCGCAAACATGGGTGTGCAGATGTCTCTCTGAGATACTGACTTCATATCCTTTGGATATATACCCAGAAAGGGAATTGCCGGATCATATGGTAGTTCTATTTTTAATGTTTTGAGGACCCTCCATCCTGTTTTCCATAATGGCTGTACTAATTTACATTCCCACCAATGTTGTTTTAAAATAATAATTAAGAGATTTTCTATGGTATCTTCATTTGATTTTGCTTCTTCCTCTCTCCCACCCCTGCCCCACAGAGTCCCTTGAATAGCTTTGAAAAAGTGGTTCCCTTAAAGGAAGTCTTGTTTAAATCACATCTTCAGTAGATGTTTTCAAGGACCAACACCATTAGCAATTCATCTTGCTTGTGGGAGCTCACAGTCTGGCTTTAGGAGCCAAGAGTTTCTGTTTTTGTTGTGTTGTGATATGAAAGCAAGGGGGAGTCAAATTTCAAACAACTGTATCACATTATCACCCAAAAATAAGTAAAAAAAAAATAGCTGTTTATTTTTGGTTTTGTTTTTTCAAATGGAGAAAGAGAAAGAAAGAGCCTGCAGTGTTGTTTGCTAACTTGTTTTTTTCTCAATAGCTAAATTCTCTAAAAGAGACACACAAATGAAAAGTTTTATAGCAATGTTCTTTTTTTCAGTAATGAATTAAGTCTGTGTAATTTCATCAGATTTTTCCCCTCGTGGAAATGCAATTATTGCACTCTTGTTTCCTACAACTAAACCCTTTTTTCATGATTAACCTCACTCATGTTTTTAATGTACAACAAAATGCCACAAGATTCATGCCGGTGACAATTTAAAGTGAATTAAGGGTTAATGACACGGGTGTGGTCTGGTCTAGTCTGATTATAAATAAATAACATACGTGAAATAGATTCAAGCAATCAACATAGACTTGGGTCCCATTCAAGCAATCAACATAGACTCGGGTCCCGTGATCTACCGAGGGGCATTTTGTTACTTAACCTCAAAGGCGACAAGGCTGGAACCCCACTTTTTGCCAGCCACTCCTCCGGCGCCTTTGGTCCTTTTCTAACATCTCTTCTTCCTAAGCCTCTCTGCACACAAACCTGCTTTCGGCTTGTGAATGTAGGAAAACTGTATCCATAAATTACATCACACCTTGCTGCCAGCATTGCAATTTCTCCAGACTTCAAAACTTCACAAACCAGACAGATCAAGATGCAAAGAGTTGCATTCGGTGTCCCTGCTGGATTCTGAGGCTGCAGAGACAAGCACTGATTTAGTGTCTGTCTGCCAGGTGGACGAACAGCTCTGATAACACCCGACCAGAGCTCCCGGTTCGCCTGTCTCCCATGCCAGCACTGACATCCCTACCAAATCTGGTCGTCAGGGGTGTTGGGTGGGGCCCCCTAGGCTGAGAGATTTCAAAATACAGGCATATTCTGAAATGGTAATAGCAAAAGTTTGGAACTGCACTTGGTTTGGGGTAGATACTAAATTCCACAGATGGGGATGGGGCAGGAATGGGCATTTAGTAGATTGCAAGTGACAGAGACCTAGTGACCTACTAGCACCAACTCCTTCAGTTTTCAGAAAAGAACCCTACAAGGTAGTCATGCAGTGATTTGCTCAAGATCACAATGCCCATCTGAAGCAAGCTAGGGCCCGAACCAGGGTCCATTATTAGTTAGTAAGGCTTCTTACAAAGATAATTCCAGCCAACTTCAGATCAAATGATCACAAAATATAATGATGTTCTAATACATAGGCTCATATTGCATTAGAACAGGACATACCGTTAACAGTCATGACATAATGGCACGATTTCATTTTGCCTCCAGGGTTACACAAGGATGGAGTTAAAATTCTAAATTAGAATGAGAATGGAAACTTGGAGTCAACAGAAGCCATCTTTTCTCTGAAAGGTAATTTCAATACATGTAGTCTATGTATTGTAATTAAAATAATTATTTTGATTTTATTGGCCAGTGGTGTTCACAGAACCTACCCAGTGCACAAACACCTCTAGATAGACATAAACCCACCAATATATGATGTAGGATGCCAAATATATGTGTCCTTCCCAGACACAATTCCGCTAATAACTCCCCCCTCCCTTCATGTGCATCGAGGCTGAGACAGAGGGGCCAGCAGTCATTCCTCCCCTCTCCACGCACCATGAGGACTGGCTGTCCACTGAAGTCTGCCTGCAAATGGCATCACCTTGCCCCTTGGCAGACGCTCCACATCTTTTCTGAGGAACACCCAGAGCCCATCCCTGTTTCTTCACATGTCTCTTTTGTCCCTGGTGCCACCTCTTCAGTGTGTGTGTTCCTTTTTCCCTGCCACTGACCTGCCTGAAGTTCCCTCACCTCTCTTTTCTTTCCTTCCTTCCTTCCTTCCTTCCTTCCTTCCTTCCTTCCTTCCTTCCTTCCTTCCTTCCTTCCTTCCTTCCTTCCTTCCTTCCTTCCTTCCTTCCTTCCTTCCTTCCTTCCTTCCTTCCTTTCTTGTTTTTTTGTACCAGGGATTGAACTCAGAGGCATTTAGCCACTGAGTACATTCCCAGTCCTTTTGATTTTTTATTTAAAGACAGGGTCTTGCTAAGTTGCTGAGGATCTCGATAAGTTGCCCATGTTGGCCTTGAACTCTGATCCTCCTGCTTCAGCCTCCTGAGTCTCTGGGATTACAGGCTTGTACCACCACACGCTGCTCCCCTCTCTCTTGTATAAACTGTTTTTCAAAAGCATTTCTCTTTATCCTTGACAAAGATATCGGAATTAGCATCTTCACACACACCTCTAGACATCATTAAGTCCCTCGGGAAACTTCTGTGGCTCTCCATGGCTGAGTAAAGTTCAAATTTCTTTTTACCATGTTTCAATTTCTCTATAAGATGGGTCAGTCTGGTTGATCACATCCAGCCCAATCCTCAGGACGCTCCAACCTTGTACCTTTGTGCTGACCTTTGTGCCCAGATGGATGCCCTTTTCACTCATTGCCATCTTCCTCCCCAGCCCCCTCATCCCTGGTCAAACTCTCTCTATTCTTCAAAGTCCAACTGCAAAGCCACACACTCAACTGTGCTTCTCCAAACCCCTGAGTTCACGTTTACTCTCTTGTGCCCTGTCCTTCTACAGTGCCTTGTTAAGACCTCCAATGAGAGCACTTTTCTCCATTAAACTATAAATGCCTGAGGGGTAGGAGACCTCCTGCATCTCTGGACAAGTCACTGGCACACTGCTTTGTGTGGTAATCTCAGTAAACTTTTTCTGGATTGAATCTTGTACGCTCTGCATGCAGGTTAGCGCTCTCATTGCCCAGCCTGCCGTAGCTCTGCATTGTCTGGAATCGGGTTTCCCAGGCATTCTTACAATCCCCCTTTCTCACCCCTCCACCCCTAATGCTGCTGTGATTGCTGCAATTAAGTCGACAGGAACAGCTTTTACTTGTATCGGGGCAGCTCATTTTCTCCACATTTGGCCTACCCAATCTATGTCATAGTTGTGCACCTTCTAAAGATTTGCTAGGGCCCTTCTAGTAAGGAGCGGTTAGAATCTGTACTCACCCACTTCCCTGCTATGTGACTTTGTGCAAGGTGCTTAACTGCTCTCAGTCATGGTTTCCTCACCTGTAGAATGGGATAATAATTCCCCAGTTGTAAGGATTACAGTGGCAGTCATCTCTGACCTAAAGAAGGCATTCAGTAACATACATCAGTGTGTGGTGTATGTTAGACCAGCTCAAGGTGAGTGATCTGTAAGGGAGGCAAACTGTGACACTTCTTAGCTGCTTTACCAATGAGTCCTTAGACCCATCTCCAAGGTTGGTTTCTCCCCAGCACACTGGTTTCCTGAGTTTCTTCACACGGGGGCCATTACTTCTCCCTCTTCTCAATGGGTACACATCACCCTTCACTTTAGGAACACGGCACGGCACCACTCAGATTCTATATTGCCATGTTCCAGCAGGCAGAGATAATTCCAGGGAGTTGCTGTTTATTAAGATTTACTTGCATAACTTAGGAGTTTTGATAAATTCACAGACTTTGTTACTAATGATATTGTCTTATAAGCTATGATAAATATAGACCACGAGTGATGCTGATGAATGGGTTAGATCTCACAATTGTGTTCGTTCATTTCACAATCATAAATTAAAATGTTCTCTCCTCCTACTATGTCAATTTGATCTAAGTTTCATTATGACAACATAATATTCTCTTAGTTTTCATAAAAACATGCTGGCTTTTTAATTTTGTTTTCTGCCTCTAGATGTAGCTGTATATGATTGGCAACATGTGCTTCCCAGATTACAGAATTTGGTAATAAGTTATATTTAGACGATCTTTGAAAATTCTTTTCAGGGTAGAAGATTTTTCTAGCTTAAATAGTGTATGTGTTTTGCCCTTGGTTTCCCTGCAAAATTATGAAGATTCTGCAAAAATGATCCACTGACTTATAAATATGTATCACCGTAAGTTTCTGAAACAAAGCCATCAACATATGGAGGTAGGTTGAGGCCTAGGTGTGAGCTTTCAGTCATACTTATGTTGGTTAGAAGTTTTCTCCCCAGTGATCGTGCTGTAGCTTAATTCTGGTACATAAAACTAGGGTACCAGTTGACAATTGAAATTTGTTGTTGGTACTGGTGTTGGAGTCTTTCTTTATGGCTGGGGGAAGAATTAGGGCAGTAAGAAAGACAGTAAGGATCAGACCTCAACTAAGGCACGGTTCTTTTCTGTGCACAGGTGTGTGCCGCATGCATGCGTGTGTGTTTAGGGGGTGATACACGCACAGCCTTGCTTGGGGCAAGACAGAGCGGTGATCAGCTCTGGCCCTTTGGTCTACGATGCTCTTATATTTCAGTTTGACTACAAATAACTGAATAAATGACCCAACCTATTATTTTATGTCAGAAACCTTTAATACAGAAACAAAGAGCCATAATATCCAGGAGAACACAACCCAGAGGATTTCAGGACTTCTTTAGTAGCCAAGCTCAAGAGATGCCAGAGTCCATGCTGCTTACAGTGAGTACTCTTTTATGAAGGCTGAAGAACACAGCCTTGCTAGTTCCTGTCCCCTGTCCTGCTGCAGACACGCGGTGGCCTGGAACCCCTCGTGATTACTGAAGGAAGCTCCCCGTGATTAATCTGGACATAACACTGTCTAGACGAACCAAAGCAGACACCTTATCTGAGAGCCACCACCCTGTGACCATGGCATGAGCTCACTGTCCCCTTCTGTCTTAGGCTCTCTCTCACTTAAATCACTCATCAAAAAGTTGATTTAAACTAACATTAAATAAGACACAATTTCATTAATTTTTTTCTTACCAAATATGCCCTTGTGGTATATACTCCTGATATTAGTTACAGAGACCTCAGGTTTGTGCTTTTCCATATAAAGAAGGTACATATTCTATGTATAAACTGTGTAGAAACACATGTTCGAGCAGTTACATTAGAAAACTGAATTGTGATTTGACCATTGTATCTCCCAAAGCTGAATAAAGCAACTCTCTGTGACATCACAGAGACAAAACGTTTTCAGCTTGACAGGTTAATTTAGGCAACATTTTGTGTTCTGCTTTATTAGATAACCAGCATAACTCAAAACAACTGATATTGAATTTTTGCCAAGATATAATGTTGATATAAGCCTGTTGGTATTTTGGATCCGTTTTCTCTAACAAAACACAAAAAATTTCAACAAATATATAAAATCAAAATTTATTTTGTTTATGTATTAGAAATGGGGTGCTGAAAAACTGGGAAAGAATGTCTCACCTAAATAAAAAGATTCTTCCAACATGAAAAAAGCTAAAATATAAGGTTGTTTTCAATAGTGCCTTCTCCCTCTAATCACAAAACTTTAATGGGTAGAGAGCTGCTTCTCTTGTAGGGAGGGGAAAAAATCATATATTCTTTACAGCATTCAAATGTGAAAGAAGATACTGGAGACAGGTCATATCAACAGGAAAGAGAGTAAAGAGGTCCCAGGTTTGTGGGGACCTGGAGACAGGCTGGAGGTGGGGGAGGGGCAGTTCATACATGGCCTGGGGCTAGAAAAGTAAAATACCCATGCTTTGAAAAGAGAGAAAAGAAGAGGTACAGGAGGAACTAAGCATTAAGGAGGAAGAATAGGGCGCCACTGTAATTTGAACCCTGGGGAGGGAGGCAACCAGGAGGCTTAAGGAGCAACCCCTATTGCTGCATTCCTGGAATTCTAGAGGGGGCCTGCTTTGGATTCAAGCCATGATGTAGGGGGTGATTTTGGCTAAAACCCAAATAGAAAGAACCAGAATGAGATGTGCATCAGCTTGGGTCCCACACCTACTGCAATGAGTGTATAGGATTTTCTTATATGAAATATGTACAGCGGAGATCCTCTTGCAATGGCAGGTTTTTATATGCTACATAAGCACAATCTGTTCATTATCCACTATACAAAGTCTGGACTACCATGAGATACTGTAAGGTGAGGCTGTAGGCTCAAGGACAAAAGTTTAAAGAAATGATTCCACTCTCCCCAACCCCAACAAGCCTGGCTCTAGAAAGGTGCAAAGAAGTTTCTAGAAAGTCCTCCCTTTCTCCTTATTGACCTGGGCTACTGAGGAAAGAAGCTTCTTGCCTTTTAAATTCTAGGCTCTTGATTCAGAGTGAATTATTCCAAAGCCAACAAGTCTTCCTATTCCTGCAGACTATTTGAATAACCATTTTATTTGCATCTGAGGAATTCACACGTTTAAATATCTCCAGCAGTACAGTGATGTGTTTTCATCTAAACCTTGTTACAAAACATTTTTTAAAAATATATTTATCCCTAAACCTTAAAGTCTCATGTTTGGTTTTAGGGATAGGTGAGTGATGAATGCCAGTTCTTTTTTTGTTGTTTGGTTTTTTAATAGCCAAACATTTATACTTAATACTAAAACCAAAACCACAGACAAAGCAGCATATTTCATACCACTCTGTACTCTTTCAAATATAACTTAACAGTCAAAGCTTCAATTGCACAAATATATTTAAATATCAACAAATCATACTTATCCTCCCCTCTGTCATATGACATTGAATTGGTAGGCTTCCCACTTGGGGACTCACAAACTTTGTTTCACTGAGTTTTAAGCAGCCTGTTGAAGGATAGATACTTAATAAATGTTTTCTCCAAGGCAACCCCCTCCCCCGCACACACAATTAATACAACTTTATTTAAATTGTTGAAATGTTGAGTTCCTCCTGGTCATGGCTGTGCCAGCAGCACTTCATCTATTTATCCACATACATAACATGAAAGCAGTTATTTAGGCAGTGGTTTTAATAAGTCACTTAGGAAACAAACAAAAATGCAAGGTGAAGGAGCTGGCACAGTCTGCCCTGCACACCTCCTGGGCCTGATGAACTACCTTCTATTTTAGCACCAGACATCTTCTAATGAGAAAATGTTCAGTTTTCCCCCACGGTACCATGGTAGAACGGAAAAAAGCAACAAACCTTGAGAATAAAACCCTCCCCCAAAGGTGAGCTTATAAACGGTTTTATCTTTCTAGTTCCATCTTGATTTGTTTTGAATTAATCACTCAATATACATAATCCTGAAAATGTGCCTGTGCAAGGTATGGTAAAGTCTTATATCCAGAAACTCAAGATAATATATGCATCAGCTTCATCATAATAGTGGTTTCTGAAAGCGAGAAGTTTATTAATTATCTCGACAAACCATCCAGGCTGATGCTTTCAGGCTCAGGGAATGTTGGCTTGAGCAAATTTTCATGGTTGATCTGAAGGACTTAAGCCTAGAAGCAAATACTTTTCAGTCTGTGTAATGAGCCTGACAATGTGAATAATCTCAGTGCAATAATTTTGTGGATGCTAAACACACAGGTATGGGCAAATATACAAAGGTAGCCCCCTAGTAGCCAAGAAATAACCATACCACACACATAACTGCTAATTCTAGAGGTCACATAATAAATAATTCTGATTTTTTAAGGACAAGTCTCCATGCTTGAAAAAAATTATTTCCAGAAGAATAATTAATATATTATTTAAGTAAAGATCAAAATGAAAGCCTCCTAAATAGCCCAGATCACATTCCTGATTGTATAAGTAAATAAATATAAATTTGTATGGAAAAGCTAAAACAGATTAAAATATGCTTCCTGGTCTCAGGGAGGTTATCAGTTCATTGAGGGTCAAGAAATAACTACACTTTTTAAACTACCTTACATCAACTCCTATTGATATTTCAGAAGGAAAACTAAGAAATAGCACACAAACCTCTCCACACACACACACACACACACACACACACACACACAGACTCTTTACAAAAGCAAAGTTTGCAACATGCTATAATTAAGCTCACATTCTGACAGTAAAAACACAAAGTTTTATTCTAAATATAGAGGAAGACTCCGCATTGTGCAACCACTCTGTTGTTTTTTTAACATTAGTCATTGATACAGCAGTGTTGCCTTTGCATAAGAATATGAGTCTTTCTGAAAAATACGCTTACAGTAGACATGAAAATTGTGAAAATTGTACTGCTTTATTTCTTCATTTTGCATGGAGATTTTTCTTCAAATCTCTGGGACACTGGATCCCTGCCTCCTCCTCTTCATGGCTCTAAACCATTTTGTTTAAATGGCATTTTCCTTCTTGCTGTCAAGGTTGAAGAGTGCTGCTGACTACGCTTACATGGACGGCTATCTGTAGCCTAGTTTCTAGACCTCAGCGTTCTACGAGGGCCGACCCCAGCCTCCTCCTGAGATGATGTTTGTCCATGGAAGACAAGCTACACACTCTAAAATAGTGGCATGAAAATTACATTTCCCAGATATCAGATTGGACTCAGCACTACTTAATAGAAGAATTATTTACCTGAGCCCAGCTCAACCCACGCCCACAAAGCACTTAAAGTCCTTAGTGCAAAGTAGGGCTGATTGTAACTTATGGAACATAAAGAAAGTCCTTAGAGAGTGGCTGTTAAGAGTTTGGGCTTTTGTATTCCTGCCACCTGGAATCTACCATGGGCCAGCTACCTGGACCAAGTTAACTTCTCCAAGCCACAATGTCCTCAAATGGAAAATAATGATGATTATGGGTATGCAACTTGGTTGGATTATTTTTCAAGATGACATGTGATGGTACATATAAAAGAGTTAAAATAGTGCCTTGGACACGGAAGAACTCAAACATAACTAGCACTATTTTTAAATTAGGATTTTTACAAGAATAAAAGCTTCTGCTTTGCACCAAATATCAAACAGAGGTACACCAAACAAGCCCCATGGAGAAAACCCCCAACAATTTACAAAGGGAAATTAGGTATATAGGAAGCAAACCCACTCCCAGACACCCCTGCTGCTCTACCCCTGTGCTTCATTTGACTGTTAAGAACAATTGCTGGGCCTTTCGAGAAAATATTTCAGCTTTCAAATAACTGCTTCAGAGGGGACTAAAAACTATATTTAACTGCCTCTCGGGCAATTAGACCATGACCATCACCACATCTGCTATTTGCTCATCAGGAAACTGCTTCCAAGACATTTAACATTCATAGGTGTATTAGCTCATTATTAATACCCTAGAAATCCTCCATGACGCTATGAACTATGGTGTAGAATTTGAGGCCAGGAAGCTCCATCTTGGTTTCAGTTCATCTAGAGGACTACGAATGGAACTTCCCAAAGGAGGTTCAAACAGTGGTCTCAAACATGGACTGAATTACAGCAAAGCTCCAGCAGAAAGACTGCTTCTAGAAACTTTTCTTCAGGGGCTGGGGTTGTGGCTCAGTGGTAGAGCTCTTGCCTAGCATGTGGGAGGCACTGGGTTTGATTCTCAGCACCACATAAAAAGAAATAAATTAAATAAAGGTTTACAAAATACAATAACATTATTAAACAAAAACAAAAAAAAAAAAAAAAAAAAGAAGGAAACTTTTCTTCCTCCATCTCAGCTCTCACTCAGATTTGATCTGTGCACATTCCCAGGAAGGAATCATGATAGCAAACACTTAGGTGGCACTAATTAGGTACAGACACATATATATTAATACAATGGATCCTCACAAGATCCCCAGGAGGTAGAAACAGGTAGATATCATTGCCATCATATATGTGAGGAAACTGAGGCACTGTAGACAAAATAATGCAGGAGTAGCACCAGGGCTGGGATTTGAAAGCAGACAGCCCACCCCAGGGTTAACACTTCCATACAGCCACACCACCTCTACGTCTCACTAGCATGCCTCTGAGAGTTCAGGGGTGGTGGTGGAAATCAGTGATTCCCACTCTCACTCTCTCATTCACTATACCATTCTTGTGACACTGAGGTAAAGAAGACTCTTTCCAACGAATGTCTCCTGGAACAGAGATTATGCCATGTCACACTACCAGCATGTCGTCGAGACAACCTGGCTTTTATTCTAAAGACATTCCCATCATGGGATCTATGGAAACCTGAATATAATGTTCTATTTTCAATTTACAAATAAGATTAATTTACACGAAATTTATCCAACTATGGAGCCTAAAGACAGCAATGTTATCTTGAAATCATTGGAGTCAGGAATATATCTTCAGTTTCCCCGAATTCCCCTATGTAATGGTTAATTTTATGTGTCCTATTGGCTGGGCTATGGGGCCCAGCTGTTTGGTCAAATGTCAGTGTAGATGTTGCTGTGGGAGTTATTTTTTAGACATGATTAACATTTACATGGGCAGATGTTGAGGACAACAGATTTCCCCCCATACTGTGGGTGGGTCTCATCTCACCTAGGCAGGTAAAGGTCCTAAGACTGAGGTACCCAAGAGGCAGCTTTCTGCCTTAAGACTACATCACAGAAAACTCACCTGTACTTCACGGCTGAACATGTTGGCCTCAAGACTGCAACAGTCATGGTGATCGTTTTTATTTGTTTGTTTTGTTTTTGGTACTGGGGTTTGAACCCAGAAGTGCTTACCCAC